TTGTTTTTTTTTTTTTTTTTTTTTTTTTGTATCGTCGCACGTCGGTTAACTTATAAAGAGACACACACAAATTTCAAGATTGCCATAATTGACACAATCATACGGAATCTACGTACAATAATGATTCTATTGTATAATGATTATTTTGTGATATTATTATACTGATTATTATTATTATTATTATTATTATTGTTTATTATTATTATTATTATTATTATTATTATTACGTTAATGATTTTTAAATGTAACGTTACGATATAATTGTACTTCTGTAATTGATATTTTCATGATAAGATTATATATTATAATTATATAATGGCACTTCTCTTGTCATGTCTTATAATTGTGTCTCCCGTTTATCTGTGCCGTGCGTGTGTTTGACAATTTTTCTTTTTTGGGGTGGCGGTGGGCGGAAGGGTATTTCTTTGTCCGGCCGTAGACTGTCGTCACGGTGCACGGTCGTTAAATTTTTTTCCGTGGCACGTTCAGACTTTTACAAAAATGATTTATTTTTTTTTTTAATATTTTTTTTATACCGTGATCACGCAACGGATCGTTCTGACACGGCCGTGCGGCTTCACGTTTTTCTCGCGCGTAACCACGTGGTGCATGGGGTAGACGATATTTTCGTAACTTCAAAGGGGACGAAAAAGCCTGTTCCACTGGTATCGGCATCCGAAGCACGTGCAACCGCAAGAAGAAGCTCGATGCTGCGCAACAATCGTCGCTGGGAATTATCGGTTTACGTGTAGAATCGTGACGCTGCGAATGGTACACAATATACGTGTGCGTGTATATATATATATATGAGATAATGCAAATTGTTATAAAATGTGACGATGCGCGATCCTTAAGGCGCGTCTGCTTTTCCCTCTGCCCGATACTCAAAATTATATTTGTCACTATCTTTTTTTTTTTTTTTTTTCTAATTTCATTCCAAAATAGAGGTATAATAAGGCATTTGTCGTTGCACCTTAGTCAGTGCATGATTTGTTGTACATTTATACGTAAGCATTGTCGTTGTTATTATCATTGTTGTTGTGTTGTCTAGATGTGCTTAGCTTTATCACAGTAATTTCGTGTAGTGTGTATATATATATATATATATGTCATTTTTTTTTTTAATTTTCATATGAGACAATAACATTCACAGATTGGATTTGCGTGACGATATAAGATTTATAATTATCGCGAAGTATCTTGTGATTGTTAAATTGAGAGGGGAGTGGGAGGAGGAATGATAACGATAAATCTTTTATCGTCACGAAAGTCCAATGATCGTTAATTGAGTCATATAGTTCGTAATGAACCGCCAGTGGGAATTTGTTAAGTGATTGACCAACGTCTGTCTGTGTCTCTCTCTGTTGGGCCCCCCCCCAGTGGACTTGGATCAACGCGTGGGCCGGTATCGTCTTCTGTCGGATGGAGGGATGATTGATGTTTTGTGAGCCCGTCGCCCATCATACCTACTCACCTTCAGACTTCAGTGTCATTCGCATTTTAGTTTGCAGATTTGAATATTCGCGCCAAGCCCGGGAACGTTTACGGAATGCGTGTCGAGCGCGATGTGACGTCATCCCGTATAAAACTTACGGACACAAAGAGAAGACGGTCTGCTCGGTCACTTTGTCGCTGCGTCTCCGTTACGACCATCCTAATCGGAATTCCGGACGAGGATAATGGGACGTCCGCGTGTAGAAGATTTCTTCCTGTGGCCGATCGGTGCCGATCTTCACGCATTCCGCACACGTTTCCGGCGAACTTTAGCCACGTTAATTGCGGTTCGCTATTCATAGAGGATTCTCGTGACGAACCGTTGTTCTGTCACAGCATGAAAATTCAAATGCACCGAATCGAGTACGCCGGAGAATACGGGAAGATTTTATATTGGGTTAGAAAACCCGGTCGGTTCGGTATTGGTTTGTGTGAAATATTCTCCGGTGCACTTTTTTCCGTACCCTTTTTTTTTTCTTTTTCTTTTTTTTTTCTTTTTTTTTACGTGCTTGAAGCTAACCTGATTTTTTTGCATGTCCTTTTTTTTTGCGTTATCAGAGACAAGTTCACGTCGAGTGCGTTTGTCATGCGCGCGCACGCTCTTACAGCTACGTTCAGGCGAGTTCAATCGGGTTGGTGTTCACTGTGTGGAGTTTGCTGTTGACGTTTAACGATTTTACCGGCGATACAGTGACGCGCGTAACGGAAACTGTAGACGCGTGCTCGCGTGTGTTTTTTTACATTTTGGGAATATTTTCCCTTTTTTTTTTTTTTTTTTCGTTCTCATCCTAATAACGATGGCTTTGAACACGCGCTAACGTCAGTGATCCAGAGCTATGTAACTTTTGGACTGTCTTGCAAGACCTCTTGTTTATTGGCGGTGATCTTTTTTTTGTTTTTTCTTTTTTTTTTTAATTTTTTATTAACATCTTTTCATTGACATATTCTTGAGAAAACGATCGCGCTTATAGGTTTTTGAGGTTTTGCAAATTTGTCTTGTTTCACTGTCGAGCGTCATTGTCAC